CTCTTTCCTTCCTGGTTCTCCTGACCTTCAATCAGTCTAGATCAGTGGTTCTCAACCTTTTTAATGCCGCGACCCCCAACCGGTCGTAAGTCGAGGACTACTCAACCGGTCATAAGTCGAGGACTACTCAACTGGTGCAGCACCGTTTGCAGAATGGGACTTTTGGCGGGCTCAGCAGAGCAGAGACAGCCTGGACAATTCCTATTGGCTTTTGAAAGCCAATAGAATGAGACTCTATTCAAGAGAGTCTATTCTATTGGCTTTCAAAAGCCAATCGAATAAAAGGGAGTAGCACAGCTAAGGAAAAGGGGGAAAAAATGGCGGACTGCGTTGTTTGGCGACCCCCATGAAATGGTCATTCGACCCCAAATGGGGTCCCGACCCACAGGTTGAGAACCACTGGTCTAGATTAAGGTTCTATAAAGAGAATGTTGGCTTAAAGGCTTTGAGGCTCCATGATCCAGGTCAACTGAGCAAAAGATGAAATTGCCAGACTCCATCCCTTTCCTCATTTCCCCCACAGAGCACCAGCATTATGGGGGCTTTTAGGGTGGCTGGGGGGGGGCAGGGGGCATGGCTGGCTCAAAGTCAATCATGTTGGGGTCACCTGTGGGGGGCTGGGGGGGCATGAGGAGGATCCAGGGGTCTCCGGCAGAAGGGGGCGGGACCAGAGCAGCTGAAGGATGAGATTGGATGGTGGGGACAAGCGGGCAGGGGCCACGGAATGGAAGTTACGGTATGGGCTGGGCCACCTCGCTGAGGCCCCACCACCTGCCTTTGCTTGCCTACGGATGCTGTGGCTGGGACAGGTTGGGCGGGCTTTGCTTGGAGGGCCAGCCCGGCGGCCACGACACTTGGACCCACCTGTGCTGCAAGGACTGTGGGGCCCTGGGGGGGGTGTCAGCCTATGTGCAGCCAACAGGCCAGTGGGCTGCAGCTGCTGTTGGTCCCCGCCAGCCGCCGCACGCTTGCCACCTCCTATACGCTACCCAGGTAAGTGCCTGGCCGGGCTGGGGTGGACCGGGGCCAGGGGGTGGGGGCAGTCCCTGGCTGTCTCTGGGGCGGCCCCATGGGCCAGATCTAGTCCACAGGGCCTTGAGTTTGACATTTCTGTTCCATGCTCTGGCTGGTGTCAGCTCTGATGGTGTCCAGCCACTGTGTTCTTTGATGGCCTGGCTTCCTTTTACCGCCAACTCTTCCCAACATCATTGCTTTCTCCAGTGAATTCCCATGCCTGGCTATACTGTAATCTCCATTGAAGTCAATGGGAATTACACATGGTGTAATGGAAATAAAAGTATTGCCATAGTAGTGTCCACTCAGAAAGTGGCTGGCAGGTCATTTGTTGTGACCTGAGAATCCATTTCAGCTCATTTATAAACTCACTGAATCGCTTCCAGGGGGCATCTAATGTAGCTTTAATGGGATGGAAGAGCCTTGAAATCTTATCCCCTCCCCTAAAAAGTCACTCCAACGAGTGAGTTCAAATCCACATCATCCACATTTATAGTTTGTCTCCATCTTCACACCCCTCCCTCAAAATGCAACTGAGGAAGACACCCCAAACCCACCTGTAGTCGTAGTGGGCATTCATTCTAAGAGTCCTGGTAGAGCTTCCTCAAAGACCCACTCAGATAAATCCTGAACTCTCTTAAAAACATAATAAAGGCCACATTTCCCTTGAGTCAAGCTCAACTCCTTGTTACACTGCAGACACATCCCCACAGTTTCATGACCCTCCCACGAAAAAGGCTCTGGGTGATTTCTTCAACGTCTATCCTCTGACCCTTGTGGAATTCCATCCAGGTGTAAACCAAGTCCAACTTGGCTTAGCTTTTCTAAGATCTGCTAAGGTCGGTTTCAACTAAGTTCTGCCACCTGCTGGAAGAATAAAATTTGGATTGATAACATCATGATTGATGCGGACAATTCCATGAGCTTCAAACCTGGATGGAAGAGGATTGGGAAAGGCACAGCCGCCCTGGTGTTCCTCTTTCCTTTCTCGTCATCAACCCACAAGACAGAGGTGTGAAATGACATTCACAGCAGCTGTACTCAGCCTCCCCCCAAACCTTCCTGCTGCCACCCCCATCTGCCTCTTGCCAGCTATTTGTGGGCATCTCATCTCCCTGGTGATTAATGTAAAAAACCCATAGCAAATCCAAATGGCAGAGTCTTTAAACTGCAGCTGTCCCATGCAGGGCTGGCTGGCCAAGCTTCCCCCAAAACAGGATGTTGGTGGAGAAAACTTTGTTTCCCAGAATCAGACCAGGCCACAATTCAGCCTTCCTCCATAAACATTTCCAGAAATCAATTAAATATCATAGATAACCTAAAACTATAGCATTGACTGTGAAATTGACTTGGAACTCAAGGAAGCTGCTAAGAAGCCCGTTGTTACAGTATGTTTCCTTAGAATAAGGGTCTCCGTCATAAATCACACTAGTGATTTGAACAATTCCATCGTCTGAATCACCTTAACAGGCCTAAGTTCCTACTTAGATCTGGGGGAAAGAACAGTTTAGAAATGTCATTCTAGGGCAGTGTTTCTCATCCTCAGAAAGTTTGTGTGGACTTCAACTCCCAGAATTCCCAAGGAATTAAAAACTTACCAAAGCTGGGAAACTGTTTAGAGAAACTGCTGATCAGCAATGAAGGGGCCAATCTTTGTTTGCACAGCTGCCACCCTGACTTATCTGACTATCACTTGCTACCTCCCACACTTTTGTACTAGAGCTATCATATCTATTAGATTTATTATAGCCACCCCCACTCCAAAACACTCTGGAATGCAAACATCCTTTATGGCCTCCAGATGGCAGCCAGGAGCATATTCTGAACCTCTTTGCTGCCCTCAAGTGGTAGCTCCAGATTCTGTAGTCCAGGTACGGTAGCCCTAGGTCACGGCTCTTCCAACTTGGCCCTTTTATGACTTGTGGACTTCAACTCCCAGAATTCCTCAGCCAGGCATGCTGGCTGAGGAATTCTGGGAGTTGAAGTCCACAAGTCATAAAAGGGCCAAGTTGGAAGACCCTTGCTTTAAGGGCTCCACCGTTGTAGGCTAGGCAAAGGGCCGCGTCTTGCTAGGCATCTCAGATAAAATCAGGGAGTTAGAAACTAACATTCCAGAAAGCGTAACGATGAGGGTATGATTGGTTAATGGGATTGGTTAGGTGGGCTTCAGGTGGAGAAGAAAGGTCTCCACCCACTGGATTATACTTTTGGGCCCCAATTTATGCAAAATAGTAGGACAAAGCCAACGGGGACAAGTCACAGAATTGCACTCAGATTAGAACAAGCTAGTTTATGCAAAATGATAGTTTGCGTAAATTTAATAGTGGAGGGTTATTTTTTATCCACTAGATGTCAGGGCTGCACCAGTGAACCAGCACATTTTTAGAAACAGAAGTCAAAAGATTTTGGCTTATTGGCTGTTTATTGACTAAAGTCTGCATTGACGGGGGCTTTGGCTATAATAGCAGGAACTCAATGGGGTGATTTCCCCCCGGAAATGGAAGTTAAGCCTGAACAGTGTTTATGGATCTCTCTTTCTTTTTTTTTGGCAGATTAATTTCAGAAACCTGTGCCTGTCTGTCATAGTCGAGAACCAATTAAGAACCAAATCCTTATTCTGAAAACGGAGTACGGAGAAAGAGACTGGGCTACAAATCCTAAAAGTGGAAACCTGGATCTCTCTTCATTGCTTACTTCTGACCACCACAGTGGCTTCCCATTGCAGCTGCCAGTTTGAAGGAAATGGTGCTGATCCTGAAAACAGCAGCTCTTTCTTCCTTACTGTATAGATCAGGGGTCCTCAACCTTGGCCACTTTAAGACTTGTGGACTTCAACTCCCAGAATTCCTCAGCCAGCTTTGCCTCCTTCAGATGTAGCTTATTTTATTCAGTCTCCGCTGTCTTTCAACCCAACCTTTCCCCTCCCACAGAGAGGGTTTTCTAGATTTGTGTTGTAAAAAAGACTCAACTCTTTTTTTGATGGTTGGCAGTGGAAGTGGGGATAGAGAACTAATGGGTAGATAGAGGTAATGGGTTCTAGGTCAGTCAAGGAGTGGAATATCTAGTTTAATGAAGAGAAGGACCAGGGGTGACATGACAGCCGTCTTCCAATATCTCAGGGATTGCCATGAAGAAGCTTGTGTGCGTGTGTGTGTGTGTGTGTGTGTGTGTGTGTGTGTGTGTGTGTGTGTGTGAAGCTATTCTCCAAAGCACCTGAGAGCAGGACAAGAAGCAACGGATGAGAAGAGAGAAGCAATCTAGAACTAAGGAGAAATTTCCTGACAGAACAATTAATCAGTGGGACTATTTGCCTCTAGAAGTTGTGGGTGCTCCATCACTGGAGGTTTTTAAGAAGAGATTGGACTACCATTAATTATAATATAATATAATAGTAGTAAAGTTGGAAGGGACCTTGGAGGTCATCTAGTCCAACCCCCTGCTCAGGCAGGATACCCTACACCATTATCTTCCAACAATGTCAATTGAAGGTATAGATTTCAGGTGTTCAACCAAGGAGCAACTGCACTGAAAGGGGAAGAGACCATGGATAGTTTTGTCCCTAGAAAATACTGAGACTCTGGAGTTATGAGAGGAACAAACATATGTTCTACTTTGTTGGAATGTGTTTTATTCAGTTGTTTGTTTGTTTGGTTTATATTGTCCTGGTCTAGATGTCTGTCTCTGTATCTCACAAGGGAATTCCTTTGCCTCCAAAACAAGGGAGGTTGGGTTCAGAGAAAGAGGGTCACCCAAGATGTCCCCAAGGTGCTCCTTGTCACTGTTTCAAGACATTGCTTAGATGTCCCTCACCCGTATCTTTTCCAGAGGTTTTTCTATGTAGTGCAGGGCGACCTTTGATTTCAAACTAAGTGTGACTTCATCTTGCTTAATTTCTGCTTGCGCTTGTTTGGGTAACCCCACCCTTTAACCTTTGACGGCCTAATGAGGAAGTGAAAGCGCTTCTAACCACTCTTTCATTTCAATTCCTCACATTTGCTGTTGGATGCACAGCTGACACGGGAGACATTCCATTCGATGGAACTAGCAACCCTTTAGTAATTTTGTAGGAAATCCAGGAAGGAAAGTCAGGAAGGGACTGTTTGGGCACTAAAATCCAAAGGTATGGCTTCAAATTATTAATAATAATGAGCTAAATTTAAATGTTGGGTTTGTTTAAAGCTGGATGGGAGTTTGTTTAAAACTCCTGGGAGTTTTGTTACATTGATGTTATCAAGTGAAGCAACGTTTAGCCTTGCCGAGGAAGAAAAAAAAGAATCTTGATGTTGTTGTTCCAAAATGATCCTGCAACACATATTCTCGCCAGACATTCATTGCCTGTTTGTTCCTAGTCCTGCTATAGGACTTTCCCTTGTGCAAGGGAGGTGGCCAATGGGTTAAAATGTGGCTGAAAGGCTCTTGGCAGCGGGAAGGGATGAAGTCCCTACACTTTGCCATTTTCTCTGAGAAGCCAAAAGAAAAACGTGACCTCAAAGTCCCTTGTAAAGTTCTGGCACTGCCGCTGCTTCTTCATCCCTTTGACTTCTCAAAAGGTTTCTGAGGAAACGTATTGCCTTCAGCAAAGGCTGCATTTCTGAGCCATGGTTCTCCTTGAAAAGGGGAGGGGTCTGGGGAGTCCATGGGAAGGGGTCAAAAATGTCAAGATTGTGGTGTTTGCAATTATGTGATTAAAGCCTCACCTCTTTTTTTTATGTCCTACCATTTGGTGGTGCTATCTCAGCGGGTTTTGACCCTCCTTGGACTTGGGCGTTGGGTGTAAAACAGAGTTTTGTCCAGCTACCACCTTGACATCTCAAAATGTTGATTACATTCCTCAGCTGAGAATTAAAATGGTGGAAAAGAAGGAAGAGTGTAAAAACCTTAAAGCAACTTGGGTTTTCTTCTTTTGCTATAGAATGGAAGGACCTGACAGAAGCTGCAAGATGAACAACGAATGCAAGAACGGCCTGGACAACATGGAAGAAATCCCTCTGGAGGACACAGACAGAACCAGCGTGGAATTCAGACTGCTGATGGTCTATGCACAGCGGCGACTGTCTGCAAGCAAATATGGGCAATTACTCGAAAGAGAACCCAGAGTCCAGGAAGAAATGAGAGAGGTGGTACAAGTCAACACTCTAACCAAGGAAGAAGAAGTCACCTTTCCAGAAATTTCTCCAGAAGATCATAAACCACCAAACCAGAAGGACCAGAAGAAGATGAAGAAGAAGAAGAAGAAGGCAAAGAAGACAAAGACAAGAACCAGCTGGAGATGCTTTTGTATTCCTTCTTGCCTAAGGCCACAAGCAAAAGACACCAGGAACCAAAGAGTAGCACGAAAGCAGGACTCCATCAATGGCCATGCCATGAAGCCAGTCTCCAGACTTGGGGGTTTATCAGGTGGGCAAAGTAGGTTTCTTGTTCATTGAGTTATATACAGTAAGCTGGATTAATTTTGGTAGCATAACAGTTCTTCAAAATGGCCTTCCGACAACTTATTTCCGATAATGGTTGACCAGAAGACATGGTCAGAAAAGTCAAGATGGCAACGGCAGTGTATGGTTGAAGCTTTGCCGATCTTTTATATAGTGTGAAAATAGGCAGAGTTTCAAACATCTCTCGATGTTTTTGATTGCGTACTTTTGTACGGACTTTTGCACACCCTTTTGGGACACCCCCGTGTAGAGTAATGAATTTGTTGACCATCTGTGAGTATATCAGGTCTATATATCTACTTAATATAGCACTTGCAAGAACAATGATATTATGTTTATTGCTTGATTTTCCAGTTTTTATATTTAAATGGAAAACATGGACCTGATTTTCTTAAAAAAATAATGTTTCCCTTCACCTTCCTCAAACGAAGTAGGGACTTTCTATGATAAGGAAAAAGAGAGGAACCAATGGGTGGTAATGGTGGGTGGATTGCTACCAAGGAAGAATGGTTTGTTATGATTTATATCAGGGGTGTCCACCTGTGGCAACTTTAAGACCTCTGAACTTCAACTCCCAGAATCCCCCAGCTCGCCAGTAAAAGTGGTCCTTAGCTTTCATTTAGCAACCATTTGAAGTTGCAATGGCACTGAAAAAAGTGACTGGTCCTCATACTTATGATTAGTATAGCACCCCCTACACTCACAAGATAAAAACTTGGGCCACCCACATATATTTACCACAGTGGCAGCATCCTAGGGCCATGTGATCACCATTTTTGACCTTTGCAACCAACAAGCAAAGTCTAGGGGAGAAGCTGGATTCATCTGATAACTGATTCCCTTCACAATTGCAGTGATTTGCTTAACAAGTGTGGGGGGAAAGGCCTTGGGCATGACTGCTTAAGGGCTTAAGAAAGATACCTCAATAAGTCATAAGTCAAGGACCACTTGTAGCCTTCTTGGGCTGTTCTCCTTTCCCTCCAAAACTCTGTGGTGATGGAGCCAGCCTGGATTCCAAAATGGCTGCTGCTCATTTTTCTGCCATAACGACCGAAGGCATCTCCTGACTGTATGTTCTTGAATAAAGCATTCGCTGAAGGGAGATGGTTGAATAAAATTATTCCACTCTTGCTTTGCTTTCCTAGATGACTCGGACATCCCTCGTTTGGCAGAGAGACTTGTTGAGATAGTGGATCGTTCCAGATTTCCTGGTGGGAAGAAGAGCACTGTGGTAGTGGAACGTGCATTGAGTCTAGAAGAAGACGGTGGCTCAGCCAGCAAGCCAATCCCACCAGCTGGGGATGATGGATTAGGTGAAGTGTTTTTCCTTCATGGGGACATTTCTTGCTACTGATTTTCTGTTCATGGAACTTCGCCATCCCTTGTCTGCATGGGCACTGCAGAAGGATTCTGCAGTTCTAGATGAGGCCCTAACTTGCTTCCTATACGCCTCATAGCAGTTCCATCCATTTCAACTCAACCATTCTCCACAATATTTTACCGAGGGCTCTTGAACGTATGCACAGAGCAAAAGATTTCCCAGGCTGCTGTTCAACTGGTGATTGAGGGATTTCTAGATCCTTGTTTCCAAACCGTGGTTACTCAGCAGCACTGGCGTGGAGAGGTCATCTTGCTTAGCTAATCAACACAGCTCAAATAAAGGACTTGGAAAGGAGGGGTTGGCAAGAATATACATCCATGGTCCTTGGGGGGGTGGCTTATAAAAAAGGGGAAATCTGTATGAGGAAGAAGAGAAGGTGGTGGCTGAGGTTTTCAGTTGTATAGATCAATGTTCCTCAACCACTTGAAGATGGGTAGACTTCAACTATGCTGGCTAGGGAATTCTGGGAGTTGAAATCCACGCATGGCCAAGGTTGAGGAACATTGGTATGGATGATTTGGTGACCAGATTAGGGCTGCCGTAGCCTGGAACTGCTTAGTAATCCAGTTGTTGCAAGAGGTAGAACTGCCCCCCAAAACAGGAAGCTTAGCCAGCTGTATAGGAACCGGCTGCTTCAGTGCCCCATGCTGGCCAAGGAGAGCTGCTCTGAGCATCACAGCCTCTTCCAGCCATTTCTGCTTCCTGCTGCAGGCAGGGGAGGTGGTCCTCTGAGCAGCCCACCCAAAAGCTCTCCTTCCTGTTGGCCCTGCAGTCAACCTGCCCCATAGAGCCTCTTTGAGCAAGCTGGAGAAGCAATAGCAACAGCACTTAGACTAGCACTTAGCAATAGCACTTAGTGCTTTACAGCCCTCTCTAAGCAGTTTACAGAGGCTTGCCCCCCAACAATCTGGGTCCTCATTTTACCAGCCTCGGAAGGATGGAGGGCTGAGTCAGCCTGGTGAGAATCGAACTGCCGAACTGCAGTCAGCCGGCAGTCGGCAGAATTCCCCTGCAGTGCTGCCCTCTAACCACTGCGCCACCGATAAGCGTGTCTCATGAAAGGATCCCCACAGAGAGCACTTTCTCTGGAGGGGACATCTGACCTTATTTCAGATTTTTCATTTGATAGCAGAAGCAGACCAAACCGGGCAATATCTCCTCTCGGTTGCAGGGGACAAAATCCTTCGCATGATGGAAAATAATCTAATGCATTTATAAGCTGCCTGAACTTTGTTTTCCATGTGGATGAGGCTTCTGGTTGGAACAGACAAGGGTTTTGAAAGCAGGAGGGGACTGGAGGCATTTAGGCGCCTCGTCTCCTGTTTATCCAGGAATCCTTTTTTCCTGGAGAAAATCTACTGCATGTGGTCAAAGGAGGAGTTGAGAACACCTTGAGGGCCTCTAAGCAATCCGTCGTTTCTGGTAGCATCTTACAACATCATTAGTCCAAGCGCTTTGTCATTTTACTTGCTGTGTTAAAAGAAAATGAACCAGTTATTTTTATCTTTCCACCAGACAACGAAGAAAAGGTTATTGATGCAATAGTTGCCTTGTTGCGGAAATCAGGAGATGAACTGGAGGAAAAGGTAAGTAGCCTAAGGTGGCCGGGACTCCAATGCTCTTGATTTGTAAATTAATTAATAATAATAATGATAAAGTTGGAAGGGACCTTGGAGGTCATCTAGTCCAACCCCCTGCTCAGGCAGGAAACCCTATACCATTTCAGACAAATGGCTGTCCAGTCTCTTCTTAAAAACTTCCAGTGTTGGCGCATTCACCACTTCTGGAGGCAGGTTGTTCCACTGGTTAATTGTTCTAACTGTCAGAAGAAGCTCTCATTTCACTCCCTTGTTTTTCTTCATTTACAATTTAGTGCATGGATTTCAGGCGTCACCTCCTTCCAGTGCAGAGAAAAGTCCTTCGCTTGAATTCAGAGAAAGCATGGAGCAATTTGAGGCTTCGTTAGATTCCCCCAAAAATGCAAAAATTGGCCATCTCTGAAATAAGTCATTATTTATAAGTTCCCCTGTCTATGTTGAGCACGCAACTTCCCCCTTCCCCCTATAGTTCAACTGTGTGATTTTTCAATTTTCAGAGCACCTAGAAGTATTTTCACAGACCAAGATTAGAAAGATGATTTCAAAAAAAAAAATCACAGAGTCTGTAATCCTAGACCCTCTTACCTGGTCCTCGATCTCATTAAAGTCTTTGGAAGAGCCATGAATAGGGATACATTATTTTACTGGAATAAACTGTCAAAAAAGCCACCCTTATCATAAGAGGGGTATTAAAAAACCTGACTTATGGGTGGAATAAAATATGGAGAGAGTCCTAAGTCACCCATTTTGAACTCCCACAGAAATGTAATAGGATATAAATTTGGTACTATCATAGATTCTGAGATGGTAAAGCTCAAATGGTCTTCAGTCATAAAGTCATCTAGGCCAGGGATTTACAAATGTTATCAAGAGGCACCATTTGAATGATTGGGCATCTTCTTTTTTGTTTTTGGCCCTTAGTTTCTCATGCAATCTCATCAAAATACAGAATAGAATACAGAATAACAGTTGGAAGGGACCTTGAAGATCTTCTAGTCCAACCCCCTGTTCAGCCAAGAAACCCTATAGCCCTTCAGACAAAGGGTTGTCCAATCTCTTCTTTAAAAGCTCCCACTGATGTACCACCCACAACTTCTAGATGCAAGCCGTTACACTGACTAATTGTTGTCATTCTCAGGAAATTTCTCCTTAGTTCTAGGTCAGGGGTAGGCAACCTTGGCTCTTTTATGACTCGTGAACTTCAACTCCCAGAATTCCTGAGCCAGCTATGTTGGCTCAGGAATTCTGGGAGTTGAAGTCCACGAGTCATAAAAGAGCCAAGGTTGCCTACCCCTGGTCTAGGTTGCTTTCTCCTTGATAAGTTTCCATCCATTAATAATCCATTCCACCAATTTCTTGAGGAATTCTTGCTGATCTTCATATAACACAATTTGAGAAAAGAAAACCATCTGACGTAGACAACTTGTTGAAGAATTTGTCTAGCTAAATAAATAATAAAATAAATAAATAAGCAAATAAATAAATGTTCTCTTTCCTCTTTCAGACGAAGAAGGATAAGATCTTCCGTCAATGCATCAGAGACATGATGACCTACACCTTCTTCAGGAGAGTGACGGACCAGTTCCTTGAGGAGATACCCATAGACTCCACTGCCCGTTCGGAAGATGAACTTAAGAGCGTCAAAGTTGCGTTGATTATGGAAGCCACCACCAGGCTCACTGCGATCGACAACCACCCCATGAATCTCGTGCTAGGCTTTGGAACAAAATATCTGCAGGAAAACTTCAGCCCCTGGGTCCAAAGCCAAGGGGGATGGGTAAGAGAATCTGCTTTTCTCAGCCGTAGCAAGCTTTAAGATGGGTGGAGTTCAACTCCCAGAATTCCCCAGACAGCGTTTTTTGTATAGAGCCCAAAGCCAGGATGTAGTTTGGTTCAAGAACATGCCCCAATATGTTTATGGGCACCAGGGAGACCACAGTTACCTTAAATAGTGTCTCTGGGCCCTCCTAATTCATTTTCTTCTGAATAGGGACGCTTTTAAAAATAGCAGATCTGTAGCAAGAATATTTATTTATTAAATTTGTATGCCATTCGTATCTATCAAGTGACTTTAGGCAGCTACTGTATATATGAGAGTTCAGATTTTTTTGCATTAGATTTTGCATAAGAACAGACAAGGTTATTGACCTTTGTGGGATTTGAGAATTTGGGACATTTTTTCCCCTCTCTTTTCAGTGTTTGAGTCATTTGATGCTGGGGTTGATTTTTGTGTTAGTCCTGCCCACTGAACCATAGGAATAAGCTATAGGAATAACCGTGTAAATTCTGTGTCCTTCATTAAGGCTATCTTCATACTCAGCAGCCTCTAACTGAGTTCCAGAAACATTGTTTTCTGAACACATGTGGCTGACCAGACAGCCTACAAGCCACCAGCCATGCCAGTTTGCTTGCTTGGAAGTTGGCAACTCCTTTCACGTCCCCAAGCAGGCATAAGGCAGAGGGAGGTTCTCAAAGACCATCCATGACAACCTGTTTCTCAGCTAAGAAACGCTGGTCAGGCTCAGAACTTGCAAGAAACCTGGAAACACGTATAAATCCCACCGACCCCCTTTTTCCTTTATTTCCAGGTAAAAGCCTTAGGATTACCAGAGCAGGAAGAAGTTGAATGAGGAAACGAGATCTTCTTCTTCTTCAAGAGTGCTGGTTAACATGGAGAAAGTGATTGGGAGGTGAGAGGGGAAAAAGGCAAACTTTGGTCACGCTCCTGATTGCCTCCAAGGTGGGGAGAGGGTGGGCCACGGAAACTTTTGAAAGACCAGCAACGGCAGCACCGGATGTCATGGGACGAGGGCAGGGCCTGCAATGGCTGAGGCTGTCTTAGTCCTGCTCAGCCTGAGCAAGAGATGAAGGAGCCGTGCATCCTTCTTCCTAGAGCAGTGTTTCTCAACCTTGACCATTTTAAGGCATGTGGACTTCAACTCCCAGAATTCCACAGCCAGCATTGCTGGCTGTGGAATTCTGGGAGTTGAAGTCCACATGCCTTAAAATGGTCAAGGTTGAGAAACACTGTCCTAGAGGGATCGGAAATCTCCTGAGGGAATGAAGCTACTTATTTTGCAACTTTGGCTTCAAGTTAAGCAGGCAATTCACCGTTGCTTCTTCAGTCTGTATGAGCGCTTCAGGAAAAGAGAAGCGGTTGCCTTCAGCCAGGAGTGGGAAGACGAACGTTGGGCTGCCAGGAATTCCTTTTCCTGAAGGACGGTATCCCAAAAAGACAAGATGGCGGCTACATCTTGACTTTATGTGACCTGCTTGCCTTTCCCCCTGGGGGCCCTGTCAGTGTTGCTCATAAACTGCTGCTTTGGCTTAACTGTCTTTCGATGCTGGCTTTTTTCGTTGAACAGATCTCCCGCTGCCTTTTCTTGGGAGGTTTGCTACAAGTGTAAATAGAAAACGACACAATGACTTTGGCCCAAGAAGGTGTATTTAGGGATGACAGACCTGAATCTGGATCTGAAAGTGATTAATCCTAAGAGACCAAATTAGCTTAAGTCACGACAATTGATTCAGATGTACATAATTAATAGAACAATAAAACAAGTGACGCCCACCCACCCTTCCTTCTCTCCATTTTCTTGTTTAGTTGCTCTGCGGGGTGAACTCTGTTCTCCCCTCCTTCCTTGGAATCTTAAAAGCTCGCAAACAAGCCTGGAATCATGGTGTTCCCCTCTTCAACCTCTCTTAGAGATGAAGATTGCTTTCTTGGTTTTGAATTGAGACCGTTGTCTTAGTAATTAGGTTTTTGAAGAGTCACACGCTAATGATCAACACTGTTGTTTTTCTGAGCTTCGAGTCCCCTGGCCTTGTCTAAGTGCCAACAACAAAAGCTGTCACTTTGGGGTGTTTTGTTTCTCCACCAGGTTGTCCCAGGGACTGATGCTACTAGGGCTGAGAGGAACACATTGACCCAAGGTCACCCAGCTGGCTTCAGGCAAGAGAACCTGCCTCTCTTGCCATGAGTCCAACAACTTCTCCACTAGACCACACGGACTAAGACGGAGGGATCGGCCCCCAAACCCCCCAAGACTCTGTGGCTGAGGGGGAACTAGAACCCAGGCCCCTCCAGTCCTAGTCCACCACCTTCACCACTACACCCAATTACCTCCAATATTGTGTTGCTTACATGAGAAACCGATCAGATTTCTAAGATTTAAAAAAAAATGCAAACGGAATTCAAAGCAACAAATCTACTGAGGTTGCCTCAGCTTACACTGAGTTGGCACTGAAGGTGGTGTCTTATGACTCAGAGATGCAAGACAAAAAACCACACCTGAAGGAATCACTTGTGGTAGCACACAGCGGTAACGGGCATTTTATCAGAAACCACCAAAATAAAAAAAAAAGCCAGAAAAAGCAACGGTATTGCAGAGGCCACATCCTCAGCCCCAGTTCAATTCACATTCTCAGAACGGGTAGAAGTGTTTTTTATTTTTTAGATCATAAAATGGGGGTTTGATCAGATGGTAAATCTTGCAGTTCTGAAATTGTGGAAGAACCCTGCAAAGGCCAACTCAGAGTGCGGTTCCATGGAAAAAAAGAGTAATTCAGTGGTTTGGTATTAAGAAAGAGGAACATAGTTGGAAGTATTGCAGTGCTTTTAAGTATCGCTCTCCCAGCTTAATCCTAGAGGAGATCATGCCATTTTTGCCAATAACCACATTTAAAAAAAAAAGGCTTCAAGAAAAATATTGTTGAACAGCAAGTGTGAATGACCAATGCCACTTCAAACCTCTGGCCCGTGCTTCGTCTCACTCCCATATTGTCTGAAAGTAGATCTGAAAGGAATCTCTTGTTATAGAAAGCATCCAGGAGGGGCTGAATGCTGTGTGCACCTTTAGGAGGGAGGAAGGGAATTCTTAACAGAATAACAGAGTTAGAAGGGACCTTGGAGGTCTTCTAGTCCAGCCTCCTGCTCAAGCAGGAGACCCTATACCAGTGGTGGCGAACCTATGGCAGGGGTGCCAGAGGCGGCACTCAGAGCCCTCTCTGTGGGCACGTGCGCCATTGCCCCAGTCCTGGGCCTTCAGCTGGGTTTTATAAACCCTTTTCCCTTTAGGCCTCCACCACCGTGTGCAAAAAAAAAAGGTTCAGTCAATTTCAACTTCTCACGGGAAAAAAAAATCTTGCAAAGTTGGAATTAATTGATTGAACTTTTTTAGTATCACCCAGTCTGCCGTTACCACCGCAGCCACGTCCACCCAATGGGTCATGCCCACCTGGCACCCAACGATGCATAGGTGGGTTTTGGGTTGCAGTTTGGGCACTCGGTCTCTACAAGGTTCGCCATCACTGCCCTATACCATTCTAGACAAGGTGCTGGCCAGCCTCTTCTTTAAAACCTCTGGCACCCACAACCTCTGAAGGCAAGCTGGTTAATTGTCCTCACCGTTAAGTTTCTCCTTAGTTCTCTCCTTGGTCAGTTTCCATCCGTTGCTTCTTGTCCTGCCTTAAGGTGCTTTGGAGAATAGGTTGACCCCCACCCTCCTTTTCCTCTCAAGTCTTTTAAAAACACCCCACCATGGGCTGCCTCAAGGCTTTCAGTATATCTGACTTTTTTTCTGCAGTTTGCATTTTCTGAGCACGTGTTGCTTCCTGTTTTAAGCCGTGGGGCTCAATTGTCTTCTTTAATACACGCTGTTACTTCCTTAAAATAACTCCAAAGTCAGCTTATTCCTTTCTGAATAAAGAGACCAAGGCTGCTCAGCTGAGCAAAACCCCTGGTGGTGATTGCACCCAGGCAGTTTTTGGGGCAAGATGGAAATGGCTGTTTTTTTCTTTCGGGCTGGCCTCTCCAGATGCCCAGGCAGGTTGCATTTGGTTTTGGTGCTGCCACCTGCTGTAAAACCATCCCTTGCTATTTTTATTCCATTGTGCTGAAAGAAATTAGGTTTTTTCCTTCTCCCCATCCCACCCTACACTTTTTCCCTTCCTCATTTCCCTATTTTTATTTTCATTTGTATTTTATATTACGAAATGTAATACAAATTTAATATTATTATTCACATATAACTAAAACTGCAATCCGGAGTCTTTCTCATTAATCATGTATAACTGACATGGTAGAAAGATATATCTAAACCTTGTCACATGCAAACCTGACTTTTCTATCTCCTGCAATGATGTTATTGAGCAAAATTTTCCAAGCCTAAGATGTACAACACAACACCCCAAGAATAGAATATAATTGAATAGAATAGAATATAGAACAGAACAGAATAGAGTTGAAGTCATAAAAGGGCCAAGTTTGAAGAGCCCTGATCTAAGCCACCCATGCACTGAACAGACTTTCGGACCCAATTTATTATTTTAAAAAAATCAATTTATTTATTACAACTCCATTTATAGTAATAATAAATGAAAAAAAAAACGATGAGGAACTTTGTACAAGAGTTATGTACAGCTTGCAAGTAAAACATTCTTTATTTTACAGTACAAACATTAGCGATCCGAGTGAACTGGGCTGGCCAAATGTTGGCCATCATCATATATCCTTGCAAAGCACCATCATACAGACATTTATGAACGTTATTATTTGGATTAAAAAAAAAAAGACAGTTACAAAGTTTAAAAGTTACAAAAACAAAGCAAGAACATTCAAAGGTTCAAAAGCAGCACAGGATCCTTCACTTAGAGCAGAGATGGGCAACCACAGCCCCTCCATGGCCTGCAGACTTCAACTCCCAGAATTCCTGAGCCGGGAATTCTGGGAGTTGAAGTCCACAAGCGGTTCAAGCACTGTGGCTGCCCCACCCTGATGTAGAGACAAGTCTTGCTTCAGCTCCTAGCAGTCTCTTCGCTCAGTTTCTTCACCGTTTTCCCTAGTTTGGCTTAAAAAAAATAGCACAATTGAACAGGAAGACCAGGTTTTGCTTTCTTTTGGGACCGGGGACCGCGAGAGACCTCCCCTTTTAATTTCTCTTTTTGACATTCTCTGCTACTGTGATCCTTCCTTTCCCAGTTCGTTTCCTTTTGGAGTTAAAAAGGGAATTTCTTTATGGAAGTTTCTATGGACAGCCTTGGTTGAAAGTATTTGCAATATAAAAGCGGCCCTGGGGATCAAATTTACCAGTTCCTTTTAACTAATCTATCAATATAAAACACACCCCTTCCTCTGTAGCCCCACGTGGTACAAAACTGGATGAATAAGAACATGCTTTACAACCCCTATGAGGTGTTCCTTAATAAGATTTGACTGGGAATTGAACTTCTTAACCCGCCTGTATTTGGGACATCTGTTGAAACATTCCATTTTTCATTTATTCCCCCCCCCCAAAAAAAAAAGAAAAAGAAAAAAAAAAAAAAGATCCATTCCTTTATAAAGATTTAACTACTGGTCAAGCTGTTTTCATTACTCATTTTATATTTTAAAAGGATTTCACATATTTAAGCCCCTTAAGTAAAAAACTTGCAATGCTGTTAGCATGTTTCCGTGGATTTTTACAGGTCATTTTTATTTAAAGTAATTAAAAATAATAATTTTAAATATATATTTTTTAAAAAATTAGTTTTTCTTGCAGAAAATGTGTTCTGGGGGAGAGGGTTATCTTAAGAACATTTTAAAACCAGCCACAAAGCTTCCTAAAACTGGCTTTCCTAGCTTTATGTCTTTACTAAAGCAAATTAATCAATTTTTAGAACGGAAGAGAATATGAGATGCAAAATATTGAAATAAGGCAGCTTTCCTCGCTTACGGACCTGCAACTATCACACATCTGAGGCACAACTAAAATTGTGGCCTATTGGAGAATTTCTTCAAGGAGAGGTGAAATAAACGGAAGGAGACACATGCTCAGCCACATCAAAACATGTTACCTGCCGAGGGAGCTGCAAAAAGTATACTGGTTTTATATCTCTTGGCATGATCAGATTAATCAAACTCACTGCTGTTGTGGTTGCAAAGGGCTAGTGGGCCTCTTTCCAGTAGATGCCTTTCTTCAAAGTGTGAGAATGCATCTATCACTGTGCTGTGCTTAGCTGTCCACTGAATGTCCCAGAAGCCACCAATTCAGGTCTGAGCTACTTATGTCTCTAGTATGTCTCTAGGATCTGCTCCTGGGCTCTGCAGCTTATGTTTTCCTGCTGGGAGGAAATTGTCATTGTGAGAAACAAGAAATTATGGCGGAGAACCAGAGTAAACCTATTTAGATCTGCAAATCAAGCCTGTAAGGAAGATGCTGTTTCATTACATGTGCCTGGATTTACACTACATCACCCTGGGAGTCCTGGGAAAAAAACCACTGGCCTAAGAGACTCACAGACTTAAAGAGGACCTAAGATGAAACTCCGGTTCTCATCAAAACCTTCCCCTGGGATTTAAAGCGTTTGTCCAAGAATAAGAGTGCACATTTCTTGTACACATTTCTCTAGAAGGAAATTTCACCGACCCTATTAAAGTCTACTTCCAAGTCGGGTTACTTGCAAAGGAAATTCGGAGAGAGTTTTCTTTTAAAACAACCTTGACATCTTCAGGCATCGTTAATTTTGATGAGATTTCTAAATGCCGCCAGGTGAAACCTAACAGGGAGCTGGTTAGTGCACAAATCTCCTGAAACCA